GACTCGGGGTCCAGGGCCCGGGCTCCTCCGACAAATCCGGTGAAAGAGTGTTATCACTTCTTCGATGGCGAGACAGGTTTACCCGTCAAGGCATCTGGTGTCCATTTGGAACCGTTGCCAGAGGTTGCAGAGATTCTGAACCTCGAGGAGATGACGGCTGAGTCTTTCCTGGCCAACCTCAAGGCTGAAGAGATTGCTGAGATGGTACTCATGAGACCTGAGACCACTCAGGAGGAGCTGAACTCCTCTTCTGGCTTGGACGAGGACGTCCTGGAAGACATGAACAAGCAGCGTCAGGCGCGCTTGGGTTCTGAGATTCTCAAGAACCCCAAGGATCCGGTGTATCCTTTGGTGACGGAGTATGCGGACGTGGTGAACAAACACCCACCGACCCAACTCTCACCGGATCGAGGCGTACGGCACGAGATTGATCTCGTGCCCGGCACAAAGTATTGTGTCACGAGGCAATGGCCTCTCCCGCGCGAACAGTGCGAGGTCATTGATGCCTTCTTCGCCGCGAAAGCGAAGGCAGGCATGGTGCGGGAATCGAAATCCCCGCACTCGACGCCGACTTTCTGCGTTCGTAAGCCGAACGGAAAGTAGCGTCTGGTTCACGCTTATAATAAGCTGAACAACGCAACGGTGCCGGCCCAAACACCGATCCCACGAAAGGATGTGTTTTTGAATAACATGGCCGGGAGCGTACTGTACAGTGCGCTGGATTTGGTAGACGGATACTACCAAATCCTGATGAGAGAGAGCGACATCCCGCTCACCGCGGTAAGCACTCCAAGCGGCATGCTTTGGGAGTGGCTCGTCATGCCGCAGGACTTGTCAAACGCCCCGACGACGTTCAATCGCCTGGTGACGCAATTGTTCCGCCCTTTGCGTACCTTCGTACAGACGTACTTCGACGACATTTTCGTCCATAGCCGTGCCGAGGGAGGCAAGACGGCCATGGAGGTGCATCTAGGACACCTCCGTCGAGTGTTGGACGTGATGCGAGCGAACAAGCTCTACGCCAACATCGACAAGTGCGTTTTCGCGTCACCAGAGATCAAAGTTCTCGGTTGCTTTGTAAGCAACGTGGGCGTTCGGGCTGACCCAGACAAGGTCAAGGCCATAGCAGCATGGCCGACGCCCCGATCCCAGAAGGATCTTCGAAAGTGGTTGGGTTTGGCCAACTACCTTCACAAGTACAGCGCTGGGTACGCGGGCTTCGCTAAGCCTTTGTCGAGCCTCCTTCAGAAGGACGTCGACTGGCGCTGGGAGCAAGAGCACCAGGATGCTTTTGACAGCATCAAGGCCAGTCTCCAAGAGGCCCCTGTCCTGGCTCTGCCGGACGAGACGAAGCCGTTTAGCGTCGTCTGCGATGCCTCCGATTACGCCATCGGGTGTGCATTGCTGCAGGACGACACGGCTGGACAGGAACGAGTCATCTCATTCCAGTCCAGGCAGCTCAAAGCCGCCGAGCGGAACTACCCTGTCCATGACAAGGAGCTCCTGGCAATGAAATATGCCCTTGTGAAGTTCCGTGTTCACCTTCTGGGCTCTACGCCCTTTGTGATCTACACAGACCACGCGTCCTTGAGGACGGCGACTAACTCGCCTCACCTCTCCCAACGGATGGCGAGGTGGCTGTCCTTCTTCGCGGAATATAACTTCCGCGTCGAGTACAAGCCGGGCAAGCTCAACGTGCTTGCGGACGCCCTCTCTAGGCGTCCCGACTATGAGTTGGCCCACATCACGCGGGTGACAACGGATCTATATGATCGGATACGCATGGCGTATCGGGACGATGAGGCTGTCGCGCCTATCGTCAAGTTCC